CCAAACTACCGCACAATTGCACTCATCTCACACACTAGCAAAGTAATGCTCAAAATTCTCCAAGAAAGGCTTCAATAGTACATGAACCATGAACTGCCAGATGTTCAAGCTGGATTTAAAAAGGCAGAGGAACCAGAGATCAAATTGCCAACATCTGCTGGATCATCGAATAAAGCAAGAGAATTCCAGAAAAACATCTATTTCTGCTTTATTGACTATGTCAAAGCCTTTGACTGTGTGGATCACAACAAACTGTGGAAAACTCTGAAAGAGACAAGAATACAGACCACCTGACCTGCCTCCTGAGAAATCTGTATGCAGGTCAAGAAGCAACAGTTAGAACTGGACATAGAACAGACTGGTTCCAAACAGGGAAAGGAGTATGTTAAGGCTGTATATTGTCACCCTGCTTATTTAACTTATATGCAGAGTACGTCATGAGAAACACTGGGCTGGAGGAAGCACAAGCTGGAATCAAGATTTCTGGGAGAAATATCAATAACCTCAGATATGCAGATGACACCACCCTTATGGCAGAAAGTGAAGAAGAACTAAAGAGCCTCTTGATGAAAGTGAAAGAGGAGAGTGAAAAAGTTGGCTTAAAGCTCAACATTCAGAAAACTAAGATCATGGCATCCAGTTCTATCACTTCATGGCAAACAGATAGGGAAACAATGGAAACAGTGAGGGAATTTACTTTGGGGGGCTCCAAAGTCACTGCAAATGGTGACTGCAGCCATGAAATTAAAAGATGCTTGCTCCTTGGAAGAAAAGTTGTGACCAACCTAGGCGGCATATTAAAAAGCAGAGATATTACTTTGTCAACAATGGTCCGTCTAGTCAAGGCTATGGTTTTCCCAGTAGTCATCTATGGATGTGAGAGTTGGACTATAAAGAAAGCTGAGTGCTGAAGAATTGATGTTTTTGAACTGTGGTGTTGGAGAAGACTCTTGAGAGTCCCTTGGACTGCAAGGGGATCCAACCAGTCCATCCTAAAGGAGATCAGTCCTGAATATTCATTGGAAGGACTGGTGTCGAAGCTGAAAATCCAATACTTTGGCCACCTGATTCATTTAAAAAGACCCTGATGCTGGGAAATATTGAAGGTGGGAGAAAAAGGGGACAACAGAGGATGAGATGGTTGGATGACATCACCAACTCAACGGACATGAGTTTGAGTAAACTCCGGGAGTTGGTGATGGACAGGGAGCCCTGGCGTGCTGCAGTCCACAGGGTTGCAAAGAGTCGGACATGACTGAGTGACTGCACTAAACTGAACTGAGGTCTGAGGAGATACAAGAACTGGGCTCATAATATCGGCTCCTAAAAATATCTAACTATCTGAAGACCTGTCCTACCATTCCCCCCGCCACCATCTGCCAAGCTGAGAATGCCTCATTTCTGCTCTCCACCTTAAACTCCTTTCAGGGGATGTTGAAGGTCAGCAGCTCAGCAGCTCATGATTTAATCCTTGTAGAGTTAGATGGCAAGTGCCAATTTATAGTTGACAATAGATACCCTTGTTTCAGCAGCTAAGAGACTAAACAAGAAAAAGCCTAAACTTGAGTTTAGCAATCGAGTTGTGAGCTTAATCCTGTTGTTTGCACAGAGAATGTTGAAGACCCCTAACAACTGTATTAGGCCACCTGACATTTAATAAACAATTAAAGTCAAACTCCAAAAAGAATAATCTAAAATCATGGGGTATGGGAAAAAGCAAGCAAAAAATATAGTCACCCATCTATAGAATCAAGGAACCTATAGTGGAATATGATTACCTGAACCTCGAGATAAACATTAATTTTTAAAATATGTATGAGGGGTCCCCAAAATAATAAACTTTTGCTTGCACTGAAAGAGTGTCAAGGTTATCACTGCTTTTCTCTAAACAAATTCTAAAACCCACGCATGGTAACCTTTGAAATTTTAACAGAGCATCACCAGACTTGCACTGATTGCTTCAGTTTACTTGCCACTGGTCATAGAACTTTGAACTGATCATTTTGTTTGGAAAACTTGAAGATATTGTATCTCTTTAAGTTAAACAAACCCTTGGACATACACACATGCTGTTTAATGAGTGTGGTCCCCCACAAATGGAAAATTTTCCTGAAAAAGAATTGAATGGAAGAGTACAAACCAAATCGAAGAGTCCCCAAGTTGTAAAACTGCTCAAATTTTCCATCTTTTCTCTCATCTATATATTATATACTTATATTTAAAAAAAACTTTGCTTTTCTGTTTCATTATTCAAGAGAATGATCCTTTATATTGGACTTAACGTTAAAATGTCTTATTTAGATATCATAGATATGATAAAACTTCATTTTTGTTTTACAATATCTTCATTCAAATACAGAGATGTTTATAAGCAAATTTATGATAATTCAATTCTATTTTTCTGCTAAAGTTCATGAAAATATCATTAGCATATTTTACAGAAAAAAGTCGAGCCCCTTGGTAAACCAAATCTACATTTAATTCAATAGCAAAGAAAGTTTAAACCTAAATAAGTGAAAATAATTTCCCACAAACATTGACAAAAATGTTCTGAATACTAATAATTTTATTGTATCTAATTACTACATCTCAGAATAAAAATATCAAACAGAAAATAAACAGCTGTGTTAACTCTGACAGATTCATTTATTTTTCTTTTATTGACGTTTTAAATACATTGGTATTTGCTTTTTGTCTAGATTTTTCTACTGCTTCAGACTAGGCTGAAAGTGGGTGGAGGTTATACATTCAAGTACTTGCTAACAATGCAAAAATTGCCCAGTCTAAGTTCTACAATGAAGGCTGATCATAGTGACAATTCAGTGAAGTACTCCTATTGTCTTCATTTCCCAAACTTTTAAGTCAGTTATGAGCAAAGATAATATAAAAAATCTGAAGTTCAACCTATGTATCCATTTGACACAGGGCAAAGTTGTATGACTAGCCCATGTGACAGGAACAGAAACTCAATGAGAGACCCTTCTTTTTATACCTCAGTTTAATAGAAGCATTCTCAAAACAGGTTGTTCAAATGCATTTAAACTCACATTGCTTATCCTGCAGCAATGAGCTTTTTAAAAGCCTCTCAACTTGCATATCATTGGGTGGAGCACACTCTCTCCAGTTTACTACAGGAACATCACTCCAATAGTCATACCTAACCTCATTCATATGTTTGTGTTCTACCTGTCTGGTCTTGGTTGACAGTTGATTTTCTTTCTTTTTTTTTCCATTTATTTTTATTAGTTGGAGGCTAATTACTTTACAACATTGCAGTGGTTTTTGTCATACATTGACATGAGTCAGCCATGGATTTACATGTATTCCCCATCCTGGTCCCCCCTCCCACCTCCCTCTCCACCCGATCCCTCTGGGTCTTCCCAGTGCACCAGGCCCGAGCACTTGTCTCATGCACCCAACCTGGGCTGGTGATCTGTTTCACCCTAGATAATATACATGTTTCGATGCTGTTCTCTTGAAACATCCCACCCTCGCCTTCTCCCAGAGTCCACAAGTCTCTTCTATACATCGGAGTCTCTTTTTCTGTTTTGCATATAGGGTTATCGTTACCATCTTTCTAAATTCTACATATATGTGTTAGTATACTGTAACGGTCTTTATCTTTCTGGCTTACTTCGCTCTGTATAATGGGCTCCAGTTTCATCCATCTCATTAGAACTGATTCAAATGAATTCTTTTTAATGGCTGAGTAATATTCCATGGTGTATATGTACCACAGCTTCCTCATCCATTCGTCTGCTGATGGGCATCTAGGTTGCTTCCATGTCCTGGCTATTATAAACAGTGCTGCGATGAACATTGGGGTGCACGTGTTTCTTTCAGATCTGGTTCCTCAGTGTGTATGCCCAGAAGTGGGATTGCTGGGTCATATGGCAGTTCTATTTCCAGCTTTTTAAGAAATCTCCACACTGTTTTCCATAGTGGCTGTACTAGTTTGCATTCCCACCAACAGTGTAAGAGGGTTCCCTTTTCTCCACACCCTCTCCAGCATTTATTGCTTGTAGACTTTTGGATAGCAGCCATCCTGACTAGCGTATAATGGTACCTCGTTGTGTTTTTGATTTGCATTTCTCTGATAATGAGTGATGTTGAGCATCTTTTCATGTGTTTTTTTGCCATCTGTATGTCTTCCTTGGAGAAATGTCTGTTTAGTTCTTTGGCCCATTTTTTGATTGGGTCATTTATTTTTCTGGAGTTGAGTTGGAGGAGTTGCTTGTATATTTTTGAGATTAATCCTTTGTCTGTTGCTTCGTTTGCTATTATCTTCTCCCAATCTGAGGGCTGTCTTTTCACCTTGCTTATAGTTTCCTTTGTTGTGCAAAAGCTTTTAAGTTTCATTAGGTCCCATTTGTTTATTTTTGCTTTTGTTTCTAAAATTCTGGGATGTGGGTCATAGAGGATCCTGCTGTGATTTATGTCGGAGAGTGTTTTGCCTATGTTCTCCTCTAGGAGTTTTATAGTTTCTGGTCTTACATTTAGATCTTTAATCCATTTTGAGTTTATTTTTGTGTATGGTGTTAGAAAGTGTTCTAGTTTCATTCTTTTACAGGCGGTTGACCAGTTTTCCCAGCACCACTTGTTAAAGAGGTTGTCTTTTTTCCATTGTATATCCTTGCCTCCTTTGTCGAAGATAAGGTGACCATAGGTTCGTGGATTTACCTCTGGGCTTTCTATTCTGTTCCATTGATCTATATTTGACAGTTGATTTTCTAACCCTGTGTTAAACTGGTGGGTATCCATGAGAGCAAAGAGAACTTCAGGAATGTCCTTTTTTATCATGACAAATAATGAGAAAAAGATTGTTTTAAAGTCTAGGAACACTTACAATTTTGCGATTTCCCCAACTGAAAAAAAATAAGTATAGTCAAGCTGATTAGGGAGTGTCAGGAAGCCTGGAGCTCTGCAAGCCTCGTTTCTACTCTGGGAAAGGAGTCCTGATATTCCTGGGTACCTGGACAATAGCAGAGGCAGGCTTCCCTATGATTCACAGAAGGATAAAAGAATGCGAAGTCCTGAGGCCTCCCACCACTGCACTCCGTACGCTCAGTCACGTCCTGCTGTTTGCAACCCCATGGACTGTAGCCTGCCAGGCTTCTCTGTCCATGGAATCTTCCAGGAAAGAATACTGGAGTGGGTTGCCATTTCCTACTTCAGGGAATCTTCCCAACCCAGGGGTTGAACCTGCATCTTCTGTGTCTCCTGTGTGTGCAGGTGAATTCTTTAGCAATGACCCACCTGGGAAGCCCACCCCTGTAAGGCCTGTGAATGTAGAGTTCAGTTTTTAACAGGAATTTTCAGCATGAGCACTTCTTGTAGTGAGATCCAACCTAAGAAAAGTGTGCCATAGCCATGGTTCTCCCATATGCAATTCCCTGATAATGACACCTAAATGAAACAACTCATTCCTCTTGGTTTCCTCAAATGCTTTCCAACTCTACCACAGCTCTGAATTGCCTCTCAGGCAGAGTATTCAACCATAGTAGGAAAATATTTGCTACATGTTTCATGCATAAGAGAAGACTCAGTGGCATTTGACTGGCCTCTTTTACATTGATTCCATAAAATCACATTATTCTAGTTCCTCATTTCCTTGAGCCAATTGTTTTCTTTTTTATTTGCTTACAACACTATTTTTTATCATCTAACCAAGGGCTTCTTCACCTTCTATTGAGTCAGTCAAAATCAGTTAGTTCTTTCTTCTTTGGGTCTTTCTATTTACTCCCTCTCTCAGTTTCATTGCAGTTAATGTACTATAGGCTTACTTCAAACCACAAGTAGGACCTGCATATTACTTCCACAAATATCTTCCTAGAATATCACATGCAATCATTACTCTCCTTTTGCTCAAACATTTGTAATGATTCTCTATTGCTTAAAAAATTAAATCCAAACTAACAATGTGCTGGACCCTGTGCTTGGTATACATAGGAATTAGGGACAAGGAATGTCACCTGCAACATCAATAAACAAGGGTTTCTGTGGCCATTGAGCCATCAGCCAGTGCAGCCACAACTCCACCCCATCTCAAATATGCAGAAATTAACAGAATTGCATAATGAGATAGAGTTCTTTAATATGATCTACCACATTGTGTCTTACTAATTTACAATCATATGTTACACAAATGAAGGAGAGGTAGGACACTAAGCTGACAGGTGTGAAGTCAAGGTAAGACAACCCTATTTGGTGAATTCTGCTTTGCTTCCGAGTGTAGCCATATATGGTGCCACAGAGCTTTATCATAGTTATGTGCATGCAGTTGAATTTTAGCATTTTCTCCCCTTTGTAGAGAGTATGCTGTAGAATCTTGTGGAATAGGAAAGTTAAATGCAGGAATACTGAGAAGACTACACAATACTTCAGATCAGTGAAAGTTAAACACATATATTCAGCAGATTTGGAAAACTAAATCTTAATCATTTCTTCAGGTTAACTAAATCAGAAAAGAAATGAGGTGCTGAAGAGTGATCATCACACTGATCTTCTTGATCTGTCTTGTGATAAGAACATGGTATTCTGGACAGGTCGCAAGCAGAGTGGCCCAAAACGTCAGGGGTTAACAGTCCCTTTGGCAATAGTTTAATCACTAAGTTCAATGTCACATGGAAAAGTAATCTAGAACATTCACACTGTGTCTTATCCCAGAGAGCCCACCCACACATGTTTGTCTACTACATGCTTTACACAAAATTTTACCGCTCCTACTGAGAGCTTGCTTGTTGACCCAGCCATGAAGCACTAAGATCAGGATTAGAAGTCACACATTACCAAGATAGAACTCACTCCCCCAACAAAAACTAACAGAGGACAAACATCCCTCCCTTCTACAATTTTCCATTCTTATTTCAATGTTTTCTCACCACTCTCAACAAAACACCATATCTCCAAAACACCAAACAAACCTTTGGCATTTACTTTCAGACAAGATACAAGAGTCACTATCTTCCTTTTTTTTTTTCTGACATGGGCCTTCTTCTCACTTGCATGGAGAGAATTTCCTCTCTCTAGCCCTTTATTTACTTCTAAATTTGATGTTCAATGGGATTTGAAGATATCTGGCCTTGCAGTAGAGACTATAAATGGGAAAAAGCAGTATTATTTGCCATTCTGAAGCGACCAGGTAAATGTGAACCCAAGAAATACATGTGAGATCTCACTACCATTCTAGGAGAATAGGTCTCAGTTGTTCATGTGCTTAAAATCAGCAGTGGGGTAGTAGGATATCTCTTACTAAACCATATTCTTTCAACAACATTCCATACTAAGAATGATTTAATCCAAATTTTCAAATGATAAAATTTGCACAGGTAAAATTGTTATTATATGCAGATGACATGATGCTATATATAGGAAAACCTAAAGACTCCTAACTATTAAAACTGATAAATGAATGCAGCAAGGTAGTAGAATGCAAGATTAATCTACAGAAGTCAGTTGCATTTCTTCACACTAACAATGAAATATCAGAAACAGAATATAAACAACACCCCTTTTAAAATCACATCAAGAAAAATACTTAGGTATAAATCTCACCAAGGAAGTGAAAAGCTTATATGCTGAGAACTACAAGACAATAATAAAGGAAACAAGATGATTCAAAAAATGGAATGATATCCCATGCTCTTGGATTGGAAGAATTAATATTGTTAAAATGTCCATACTACCCAAAGTGATCTACATATTTAATGTAATCTCTATCAAAGTGTCCATGACATTTTTCACAGAACTAGAACAAATAATCCTAAAATTTACAAGAAATCATAAAAGACCCAGAATTGCCAAAGAAATCCTGAGAAAAAAGAAGAGGGCAGGAGGGCTAATCCTTCCAGACTTCAGACAATACTACAAAGTCACAGTAATCAAAACAGCATGTTGTTGGCACAAAAACAGACACATGGGTCAATGGAACAGAATAGAGAGCTCAGAAATAAACCCACACACCTATGGTCAATTGCTCTTCAAAGAAGGAGCCAAGAATATACAATGGGGAAAGGATGGTCTTTTCAGAAAGTGGTTTTGGGGAAGTTGTACAGCTGCATGCAAATCAATGAAGTTAGAAAACTCCCTCACAGCAAACACTAAAATAGATTCAAAGTGGTTTAAAGACTTAAATATAAGACATGATACCATATAACTATCACTATTGGTGGAAATGTAAATTGGTGCAGTCATTACAGAGAATGCTTATAGAGGTTCATTAAAAAACTAAAACTAGAACTATCATATGATCCATTAATCCCACTCCTGGGCATATATCCAGACAAAACTATCAACTGAAAAGATTCATGCACCTCTATGTTCACAGTAGCACTATTTACAATAGCCAAGATGATGTATGATATTATATGTGTGTGTGCGTGTGTGTGTATACAACAGAATATTATTCAGCCATAAAAAAGAAGGAAATAATGCCATTTGCAGCAACATGGATGAACCCAGAGATTATCATACTAAGTAAAATCAGAACAAGAAAGACAAATACTATGTGATATCACTTATATGTGGAATCTAAAATACAACACAAATGAACATATTTATGAAACAGAAACAGACTCACAGACATAGAGAACAGAGTTGTGGTTGCCAAGGGAGAGAAGGTGTGGGAGAGAGATGTATCAGGAGTTTGGGGATTAGCAGATGCAAACTATCATACATAGGATGAATAAACAACAAGGTACCATTGTGTAGCACAAGAAAGTATATTCAATATCCTGTGGCAAACCATAATGGAAAAGAATATGAAAGAATATGTATGTGTATAACTGAATCACTTTCTTGAGCCGGCCAGACTCCGCTGTCCATGGGGATTCTCCAGGCAAGAATACTGGAGTGGGTTGTCATGGCCTCCTCCGGGGGATCTTCCCAACCCAGGAATTGAACCCAGGTCTCCCACATTGAAGGCAGATGCTTTACCAGCTGAGCTACTAGGGAATTCCCTTTGTTGTACAGCAGAAATCAAAACAGCATTGTAAATGAACTATACTTCAATAACATTTTTTAAGTCTGATCATCCACATCTAAATGTAGTACTGCATCAATTCAATGGAATATGATGCCCCGTACAAAGAAAGAAAAAAGTCTTATAAATGTATATGAAATTATCTCTAAGGTATATTTCTTAGGAAAATAACACAGTATAATAAAATAAGAACAGGAGTTTTAAAAAGTAGTGTGTCAGGAGGGACATATAGGTATTGACTCATGGTAAAAAAGGTCTGGCTTGACTCAAACAATCTGGAAGGATGTGTAATAAAATGGTAACATTGTTGAGTCCTGGGGTGCTGGAGCTGGATGACCATGGAACAGTTATGGAATGGATACTTCCCACCTAAATATCTGTTTATGCCTTTGTAAAAATGTGAATCATCTTAGTGTATTATTTATTCAAAAATAATTCAAACTAAAACCAAGCAAATATTTAAGGCATGAAGTAGTCTTATGAATCTTGGTACTGGTAAATTTCATTGTCCTCATTGTTCAGTCACACAGTTGTGTCTGACTCTACAACCCGATGAACTATAGCACACCAGGCTCCTTTGTCCTCCACTATCTCCCGGAGTTTTCTCAAATCATTGAGTCAGAGATGCTATCTAGCCATCTCATCTTCTACCACCCCCATCTCCTTTTGCCTTCAATCTTTCTCAGTATCTGAAAGTGAAAGTGAAAGTCGCTTAGTCGTGTCCAGGCTCTTTGCAGCCCCATGGACTGTCCATGGATTTCTTCAGGCTAGAATACTGTAATGGGTAGCCTTTCCCTTCTCCAGGTGATCTTCCCAACCCAGGGATGGAACCTAGGTCTCCTGCATTGCAGGTGGATTCTTTACCAGCTGAGCCACAAGGGAAGCCCAAAAATATTGGAGTGGGTAGCCTATCCCATCTCCAGCAGATCTTCCTGACCCAGGAATTGAACCAGGGTCTCCTGCATTGCAGGCGGAGTCTTTACCAACTGAACTATAAAGGAAGCCCTCATTTCTATTGAGTATGCTCTTTGCATCAAGTGACCAAAGTATTGGCGCTTCAGCTTCAGCATCAGTCTTTTCAATGAATATTCAGGGTTGATTCCTTTAAAATTGACTAGTTTGATCTCCTTGCTGCCCAAGGGCCTCTCAAGGGTCTTCTCCAGCACCACAGTTCTAAAGCATCAACTTTTCCACACTCAGTCTTCTTTATTATCCAGATTTCGCATCCGCATCCGTACACGACTACTGAAAAAACCATGGCTTTGACTATACAGACCTTTGGCAGCAAAATGATGTCTTTACTTCTTTTTTATTTTTTCTTTTTTT